GCCTTTCTCTCTCATAGAGATAAAAGAGCAATGAAAATCGTTCTCTCTTCCGCCTCTTCGCCACTCATACTTGCAATGTCGCTTGACATCATCACGTCCCATACGAGGCTCAAGGTTGTCGATCAAGATGGTGCATTGTTAACTTCATACGATTCAGCAAAACCCCTCTGCATCTGGGTCTCCGACACCAAGTATTTTTCCTAAACCCATGGTTCTCAATAAAGGAGGAGAAATCCACGGTAGTAGCGTAGTACACGAGCATCGATATCATCTTCTGCCAAGTCGATCTTCAGCTTCTTCTTGAACAACTCGTCCAAGTCGGGGATCTGCTCGTTCTTTACAGTACCAATGCGCTGCTTAATCAGCATGAGGAGCTCCTCACTGCTGACGTTATCCACAGCCTTCCGTAACTCGTAGAGGCATACCACCTCCAGCAACTTCCGGTCGATTGAGGATTTTACTGGTTTCATCACGGTCTCGGGTCGTTCACGACTCTCAAAACAGCGTTGCCGAATAATTTCCTCGTACTGGTCACGTGCTTGGTTCCATTTGACCAATGCATCATGACTCCAGTCGTTCAACCACGGCGCCTTGACGAACTCGAATACCGGTTGATTTACAGACTTCATCACTGCGTCACCATCCGCTTCGTACTGATGTGACTTGGTTGCCATGCTTGCGGTCCCTTAGGACTAAAGTATACTTTGTGGTAGTTACCGCTTTGCGTTGCTGAAATGCTGGTGCTTGTTGATTGCAAGTTAAGAAGTGAGCTTCCTTTTGACTAACTCCTGCTCCTGCGTTCTACTCGACTCCTCCTACTCCTATCAGGACCAAAGGCTTCACCCTAGGCATAGCCTTGAGAGTCGAGCACCAGGGTTGCAGTAAGACTGCAACCTCATGTTGATAGACGACGCTGTAGTTTGGGATGGGGTTCTTGATTCAGGATAGCCTCCTTGCCGTTGAGGTACGCCTCCTTGCTTGCCACACACTACAACGGGTTTCCCTACACACCGTCATGACTGGAAAAGTGTCGTTGTGTGGATCGACAATCCTGCTTTGGAGATACCCAAGATTGAAGGGGTCTCCATGTCCAAGTCCGACACGAAGTACAAAAAGAAGCTTAAACTAAAGGAATCTTATTTCAGTGGTGCCCCAACGAATGGCTCCAACACGTCTCTCCGATTCGAATATGAGGCTGGGTTTGGCTCTACATTTATGGGTTTTACCCGCTGGGATGGCGAGTACCAGAATTTGATCATGTGGGAACAACTCACGGACGCAGCGCGTGCCACTCTTAACGACGGCAACAACTTTGGGAAAGAAGCGAGTGTGCCGTTCAGTGATGAACACTTCGAGGACCGCCTCGACGAAGCATGGCCATTCTAACTCGGCGCTGCGAATGATTCAAGCTTTCTCTCAGTAGCTACATTGGAAGCATCTACCCGTTTTTGCGATGAAGATTTAGAATTTGTACCCGAACCTCGATAAAAAAGTGCCCTCTTGATTGGTTTAAAAGAAAATATTAAAAAAGTTCTAACACCAAATTTGAGTGAGGGGCAGTTTTCCATAAAGAAATTAATGAAGACCGAACAAGCTGAAAAATTAATAAAGCAATATTTATGCACTTTTCTCGTGCGTGCGTACATGGTCTTTACGATCTAATCGATTCGACAGAGTACACATCCCATAGTATGTTCTCTGGATTTAAGGAGGTGAGTAATTCTGACACAAAACTACTCTAACTTCTTATGCTCGGATCCCAAAGTAACGTTTTCAGCACAAAATGGCTGTTCAAAACACTATAATATCAAGCTACGATTAAAAAAAACTGCGACTTGTTTATAAATTATCAACATTCACTAAGGGCTCTAATTGCTATGTAAGTATGACACCGCTATAGAGAATATCATATTGGTAGTAGCAGCAAAAAATGGAGCTGTTCCGCCGGCTCAAAGTTTTCTTTGTTTAATTGACATCCTCTCTTAATTAACTTAGAATACAGTATCAATGATGATCCCAAATTGGCATATATAGGTGAGGAATCCCAATGTAGCTGGCGTAACTACGCCTACTCAAAACATAGTACCTACTGCACGTCATCGCCGTAAGGCAGTCGACACCTTATCTTTGATTGCGACAATTTATTAGAGCAAGGTTTGGTCATCTCCTCGGGCGAAGTATCTTTTAGGGCAGGTAGTATTTGCCGATGGTCGCCCCAAACACCAATATTATGCCTTGAAATTGTTCCGCTGAGCTTTTTATGATATTAGTGAAGGGTATTTCCACTTTCTTCCGCATGCATTGATCTTACCTACATGGCTGATGCACTTACTGACTTATTTGCATGGCTACTAACTGACAGAGTGGCGTAGATCCTTTCGAGTGACTTTCACTGCTTGGATATGTATGAGGAACATACGAAGCAACATGGATGTAGGTAGATTATCATATCGTAGTGGTGTTAAGACGTGAATCGAATAGTAGTTCATGCACATTAGGTGACGTACTTTCGCTGCCAACTTATCAGCTCGGCGTGATATTTGATGTGTCCGTGCCTATCCCGCAATGCCGCCAATGGG